GCAGGCGCAGCACTTTGTGAACCTCCATGTGCAGATTTCGTGGCAGGCACAGCGCTTTGTGAACCTCCAGGTGCAGATTTCGTGGCAGGCGCAATAGAAAATGCGTTTTGGAGAGATAGCGGACGCGCGAAATGCTGTATTTTTCAATAGAACCGGTGGCTTCAAACCTGGCAAGTCTAGCTCTGCGGAACGACGGGTGCGAGACGGTCTCGGGTCATTCTCGGATTAGAGTTTTCACTTGTTTCGAGAAGTGCAGATTTCCTGGCAGGCACAGCACTTTGTGAACCTCCATGTCCAGATTTCGTGGCAGGTGCAGCGCTTGTGAACGTCCATGTGCAGATTTCGTGGCAGGCACAACACTTTGTGAACCTCGAGTTCGTGGCAGGCGCAGCACTTTGTGAACGTCCCTGCGCAGATTTCGTGGCAGGCACAGCGCATTGTGAACCTCCAGGTGCAGATTTCGTGGCAGGTGCAGCGCTTTGTGAACCTCCATGTGCAGATTTCGTGGCAGGTGCAGCGCTTTGTGAACCTCCAGGTGCAGATTTCGTGGCAGGCACAGCACTTTGCGAACCTCCATGTGCAGATTTCGTGGCAGGCAGAGCACTTTGTGAACCTCCATGTGCAGATTTCGTGGCAGGCGCAGCACTTTGTGAACCTCCATGTGCAGATTTCGTGGTAGGCACAGCGCTTTGTGAACCTCCAGGTGCAGATTTCGTGGCAGGCGCAATAGAAAATGCGTTTTGGAGAGATAGCGGACGCACGAAATGCTGTATTTTTCAATAGAACCGGTGGCTTCAAACCTGGCAAGTCTAGCTCTGCGGAACGACGGGTGCGAGACGGTCTCGGGTCATACTCGGATCATGGTCGGAATCGTCCCTCCATTGGGATTAGAGTTTTCACTTGTTTCTTGAAGTGCAGATTTCGCGGCAGGAAAAGCCCTTTGTGAACCTCCATGTTCAGATTTCGTGGCAGGCACAGCACTTTGTGAACGCCCATGTGCAGATTTTGTGGCAGGCGCAACGCTTTGTGAACCTCGAGGTGCAGATTTCGTGACTTCGAGGTGCAGATTTCGTGGCAGGCACAGCAATTTCTGAACCTCCATGTGCAGATTTCGTGGCAGGTGCAGCACTTTGTGAACCTCCAGGTGCAGATTTCGTGGCAGGCATAGCACTTTGCGAACCTCCATGTGCAGATTTCGTGGCAGGCACAGCACTTTGTGAACCTCCATGTGCAGATTTCGTGGCAGGTGCAACGCTTTGTGAACCTCCATGTACCTTTCTAGTACAACTTTAGTACGCGGAGCGATCTGTAGAGCTGGAAGCTGAGAACTGGCGACTTTCTAGTACAAATTTAGTGCGCGGAGCAATCTGTAGAGCTGGAAGCTGAGAACTGGCGACTTTGTAGTA